AATATACATGGAGGGTAAATTTTTTTACAACAGTTTATTACACCTTTACATACAAAAGAAAACAAGGTATATTTTAGTTACAAAAACTATCGTTTTAGTGGTATAAATTCAATCAAATGAAATTAAATCATTCAAAATATCAAGCAATTACTTTTGGAAGGGTCGAGAGAAATCCTGTGTTGACCTGTGAAGGAAACGTTATTCCTATTCAAGACGAAATGGAACTCTTTGACGTCACTCGATAACAAGCTTAAGTTTGAGGGACAGATTCGTAAAATCTGTCGTAAAGTTAGTCAACAGGTTGCTGTTCTCAATCGTCTGAAGAAAATATTGCCTTTTGAATTGAGGATAGATATATATCGTGCTTTCATTGCATGGAATTTCAATTACTGCTCAGAGTCGTAGCATAACTGTGGTAAAAGAGGTTCCGGCAAACTTGAAAAAATCAATGAACGAGCCCTTCGCTTTGTGACCCGTGACTAGTCAACCACGTACGAGACGTTGCTAAAACAACTAAACATGCTGTTTCCACTTAATCAAAGAATTGTTAAAATGGCCACCAATGTTTACAAAGCTATCAGTGGGTATAAAGTCCTTAGAGGAATAGGAGAGCTATTGCACGAACGATCAACTAATTATAATCTTAAAGGAAAACACATCCTCGAGCTACCCAAAGTAAATACAACCACCTATGGACTGAAATCGTGGCGTTATACTGCAGCTAAGATTTGGAACGCTCTTCCGGATCAGTTTCGTACCGCTAATAAAATCGGAATATTTAAGAACTTGATTTCTAAAGGTGATGTTACACGAGACGATTCGCAACGACGATTTTTAGCGCAACACAGCGTTGCAACATTGTTTCGAATAGTTACAAGTAGTGGAGGAGGGATGTTTTACTCCTTTTCTTTGCGGATTCAATTAACTTTTTGTGCGGTATAAATTAACGTAGATGACGTCATCATCTCATTAAGATAGGATGATGTCATAGTTTATTTTTAGCTGGCAAGGAGCAAGTGACGTCAGAATACCCTAAGGCTTGACGTCTTTAAAAATGTTGAGATCATAATCTATAAATAGAATAGTGATATCATGTCCTTACTTATGATGATGTCATATTTATTCAGGTAAGATGATGTCAGGGTTTATTTTTTACCTGCCAGTTTTTTCTATTGTTTCGAAACACATAAAATGGTCATTCCTTACCAAGCAAATCATTCTCGAGATTCAGTAGTATAAACAAGATGGTTTCAAACATTCATGTTGATTCGAGACTTGGGCGTTTATTGACTATTGATGAAGTGGAACAAGTTCAACGGCAAAGGATAGCAAGTCTTATCGGCCATATCTTCCAACTTACTTAAGCCAATATGGTTGACGAACTAATTCAAGAAGAAAAGTTGAATCGCTGTCACGGCAGTGCTATTCAGCACCCAAGTCAAAGACACCATTCGTGTGTTATGATGGATAAAGAGGATTCTTGGTTGTACTACCGAGAAGATGTGGTTGAAAAAATCGATCTGAATGCTGTCCTGAACAATGCTGAAAGTGTGTGTAAGGCTCTTTGTTTCAAGCTTGGTCAGTCTTGGAAAATGTACGTCAGCGAGCTACCCAAGATGCCTTGGACAAGCATATTTCTAGCTTCACTTGAGGTAGATGGTTTTGATGGTGATATTAAGAGTCGTGTCTTGCGCGCTATACACGACGGACCTAATGGCCTCGAGAGCAAGGATTTCAGCGACCAACAAGCAGAAATAGAATGCCCTGAACAAGTCGTGAGAAAAGACGAAGAACCAATGGAAATTGACACTGTAATTAATGACATTCAAAACAAGCTTTGTTTGTAAACGTAGTAAAATGAGTTGATCTTTTGATTTTGCGTCAGTGTGTGTTTGTCCTTATCCTAGTTAAGATGGGTCTTTCTCTCTCTTTGCTTCGGGTCAAGTTTTCTTGGTACCGCTTAACAGCAAAAATTTAACAATATCTACAAGTGCAATGGAAAAGCTTAAAGAAAACTTTTTTAAACTACCGGGCTCGAATCTTGAAAAATTAAAGCAACTCTTTGGACGCGGCCATACTATGCAGCAAATCAGAAGCACGCTTTTCCGACATTGCTCGGGAAAGATGACTCAAAACATCTTTTATTCTTAGTTCTTCTTTTATTCTTGCTTCTTCATCCTCGCTTTCATCACCAGAACTTTCGCTTTCTTCATGTTCACTCTCGTGTTCTTCTTCAACCAAATCTATCTTTCTCTTCATTTTGAGGAGTACCCGTGACAGACCGTAGCTTCAAATGAGTAACTTATAGTTTCGTTTCCTCTTTTATAGCATCAAAAATCCTAGGCTTGTAAAAGCAGGTGCCAATAAGTCTTGAATAAAACCATCGCCCTCTTGTACAAGGATTCGCTTCTTTGTTTTGTAAAGGACATTTGTTTCTGCTAGGTCTACTACAGCATCCTTATATGGCAACACGTTCCGCTTATTTTCTTCGGGGATAAGAATGTATTCCATAAGTATATTCAAGAGACTATAAAGGGGACAGAGAGGGCATCCCCCATATACACCCTATTCCATAGGTAATTCGTCTCGAGTTATTTTTAACACCACAGATCTCAAGGGGGCTTAGACAACAGCCAATCACATAGCGCGAATGTGTTCCGCGTGGATGACCCACGCTGAGAGCCACGCGTCCTTCACGAAATGACGCAGAACAAAATGGGGGAAGACGCGGAGAGCGATTTTGCTATTCCTTTTGTCGACGAAAACGACTACAGAGAGATTTCTTCGAAAGCTGTGTCAGTGAAACCGAAATTAAAAAAGAATCGCCCTTCCTCCCTTGTATAGAGCTAACAGTAGAGCAGGGAAATCCTTAACACACTGAATATTCTCTCAGGATCTCTTATAATTTACAGTTTGAAGAGAGCAATTTCTGGTTTGATGTTTATTTTTTTCAGTCTTTATAGCGATTATTCCTACCCACTTACTTTGTCAAATGTAGGCGAACCCTCCTAAATCTGAATTTCAAGGGACCATATTCAAGCTCAGAAAGAGAAATAAAATTTCGTCGTTGCTTATTTACCTCCTCCATAAAACGCGAAATTAGGCATTTTCACGTCGTAGTCGTGCAAAACGGTAAAGAAATGAACAAAAAAGTGTGTTGCACGTGCGAAATTGTTGTTTCGCTAATTAAACCTATTGTCTTTTTGACGTTCTAGTTGTCGTCCGCGTCGTTGGATCTTAAACTCCCTAAATTGTACCAACGACCAGTTTCAATAGACCGGCGAAAATTTCTCATTTTGTTAAAGCACTGAGGTTACGACAACTTCGAGTTAAACTGATTTCACGGGTTGTCAAAGAGTCCAGCGATTCCTTTTTCCCAGGTGAGCGCCGACTCATTTCGCTTCAATATTCAGGAATGCTCTCGATCTTTTTACGCTTTCATTGCCTCTCGCCCAACATGTTTTGCACGGCGTTTGGTCATGCGAAACCTCCACGAAACATCCACGCCTCGCGCGAGGTAACTTTATGCCGATTCTAAAAATAACTCGAGACGAATTAGTATAGGTAATAGCATGATTTGTAATGATATTTGGCATAAATACCACGAGTGATATTTTCGAAATTGTTATACGTAATTTCGCGAGCCGTTAGGCGAGTGAAATTTGAGACAATTTTGAAATATCACGAGCGGCTTTTATGCCAAATATCACGTACAAATCATGCTATTATTTGTTTATACCAGTACCCGTAAAGGTTTTGTAATTTTCACATGTAGGTATTTCAAATTAAGCTGAAATACCACTGCTCTTAGCCAATCAAATTGCAGAAATTTCTCATGTAGTAGTATAACATAGTTTATACTACTACATGAGAAATTTCTGCAATCTGATTGGCTTAGAGCAGTGGTATTTCAGCTTAATTTGAAATACCTACATGTGAAAATTACAAACCTTTTGTGGGTAGTAATATAAACAAATAATAGCATGATTTGTACGTGATATATGGCATAAATACCACTCGTGATATTTCAAAATTGTCGCAAATTTCACTGGCCTAACGGCTCGTGAAATTACGTATAACAATTTCGAAATATCACTCGTGGTATTTATGCCAAATATCACTACAAATCATGCTATTACCTATACGAATAGGGTGTATATGGGGGCTGTCCTCTCTGTCCCCTTTATAGTCTCTTGGTATATTGTATAAGACTTGGACTAATGCATGTAGTTGTTGTGGACTGGCTGTCTTTAAAAGAAACTGGCGCTGATAAGCAGGGCAATCAGCTAACAGCTGAAGAAAGCCACGATTGTTGTTCACTACACCAGACATTGCTTCAAACTGAACTAAAGATGGCAGTTGGCAGTCTTTTATAGAATCTCGTGGAGAAAAAAAAAATGAAACGAGTGGGCGAAGGATAGAAAATAATAGAATGAGGAGGAGGAGGAGGAAAAACAATAGAAATGACGAGGAGGAGGAGGAGAAGGAGAAAAAACAATAGAAATGAGGAGAAGGAGGAGGAGGAGGAGGAGGAGGAGGAAAGGAAATAATAGAAATGTGGTGGTGGTGGTGGTGGTGGTGGTAGTGGTGGTTTTGGGGGAGGAAAACAATAGAATTTTGTGGCCTGAAAACCTATATAAATGCGCAACATTCTACCTCTTTCTCAGTCTACATTTTGCTCCTAAGGAGTTGACATCAGTTCGCTCTGTTCTGTCTGCGAAAAATCCTTTAGCAGAAAAGATAATATGCAAAGGCGCGTGATGTCTAAACACCGCAATGCTGGTCTCACCCCATTTCACACAGTTCCAATATTTTCACAGAAATGTCAGCGGTTTCGCTTCGAGTACCCTTTCACCTCTATGATTGCCGGAATTACCGGGTCCGGAAAAACGGCCTGGGTTCGATCGCAACAAGCTTCAGAGACCATTTACCCTCCCCCGGAGAGGATCGTTTGGTGTTATTCACAATGGCAGCCTGCGTAAACACAAATGTTAGTCGCCATGCCAAACATTGAATTCCTCAAGGGAATTCTTACGGCTTTGGAGCAGGATTCCTATTTTGATGTGAACAAACGGAATTTGATCGTGTTTGATGATCAGATGATTGACGCCAGTAAAGACAAGCGAATTGTGAACCTCTTTACTCGTGGTTCTCATCATCGCAATCTGAGCGTGATTTATATCGTGCAGAATCTATTTCATCAAGGGAAAGGTAGCCGCAGCATAAGCCTAAACAGCCATTATCTGGTGTTATTCAAGAATCCACGAGACAAATTGCAAATCCTGACTCTGGCGAAGCAAATGTATCCCGGGCAGACTGATTTCTTTTTAAATCAGTACGAAGAGGCTGTAAAAAGACCTTTTGGTTATCTTCTGATTGATCTGAAAACTACTACCCAAGATAATTGTCGACTGCGAACAAACGTCCTGCCCAGTGAAGAAGGTTTTAACCAAGCAGGGTTTCAAGAAAATATTCAAGAGCTTGTAAAATATCTAAAGCAGCAAAATCTTTCGCCTGTCCCACTTCTTCCAGCTATGCAAGAAATACAGGGCAACATGGATGACTTGCTTTCTCGAAACGATCTTCGGGACGATGAAAAAGCTAAGAGATACTTTCAGTTGCAAAACAGATACCTGGCTTTTAAAGAACAATTAAATACAAGAACACGACCGGAAAAAAGCACTGTTCCAGACTTAACATCAAGCACACAAGATTCTTCGACAGCAACCGTAGCATTTTCCACTCCCATTAACCCCTTCAACGTAACACCTAAATTAACACAAGCGGCTATCTAACAAAAACCTGAAAACGAAAGCTCCATGTACTGTCGCACTTTGTAATAATCGTCGCACTTTGTAATACCTGTCGCACTTTGTAATAAAATTGTCACACTTTGTAATACCTTTCGCACTTTGTAATAACACTTGTCGCACTTTGTAATAAAAAAGCTGTCGCACTTTGTAATAACAGACCATCGTACTTTGTAATAAAAAAAGCTGTCGCACTTTGTAATAACACTTGTCGCACTTTGTAATAAACTTGAAATAGATGGTCCGAGGACAAGTAAACTCAGTAATTAGTGTCATCATCGACAACAACGACAACGACAATAATAATGATAATAATAAAGTAAAAACTTGCAAGAGGAGACAGGCCGCACATCTTCACCGGTCTGAAACCTTTGAAAACCTTTCACATATTGCTCCATTGCGGAGAACTCTTTCAGGGATCTTACAGTTTAAAATTTGAACCATGATATAGCTTATATATAGCTGACCAAGATACGGCTCAGTTCAGTTTATGTTCAGCAAGGGAAAATTGTGTAAGTTGAGCAGAACCTTTAAAATGTACAACAGACAATTTGTTCAGTTCGCGGGTATTCCTGTTGAATTTGTGGCCCGTTTATGAGATTTGTCTACTTAAAATAATATAATAATTTTTCCATAGCTGCTGTAATCTTAGGGTATCTGCTTTTAATATCTCCGTAAAGTTTAGGTTTACGCGATCTCAGAGAACAATGTTCAGCTGTACACAGCACGTAGCCTTTAAATATATCCAGATCTAACACTGGTTTTGTGCATTTATCGCAATGATGCCGTTTCATGTAGGTTCCAGCGTATTCGAAATTTCCACAACATTCATTAGTAGTGGTCATCGTGGCACAATGACGTGATATGCAATGTTTTAAAGAACATTTTAGTGCGAAAATAATAGTGACAATAATGATGATGATGACACTGATTGTGGCACCGGGTTGTGCTCTGAGTTTGTGATTTTCATTTGGTTTTATGAAATACAGTCACTGGACGAAAAAACGGATTTACTAATGTTTGCGAAAGGTGCAAATATGTGGTAAATTTGGAGCTCCAAATTTGCATTACATTTGCGCTGTCGGCTAAAGTGTGGGCAAATACATATATTTGCTAGATAGGTATTGATACGCAAAAGTGAAGTAAATGTAATGGTTTGATACAAATTTGATACATATTTGCAGCATGGGCAAATCTTCAACATTTCTACCAGTTTACTCAAATTTACATCCTTGGCAAAAATGACAGTTTTCACTTTACTTCAAATGCAGGCAAAAATATTGCAAAACCCCTAATTTGCAGTGGTATTTGCTCTTGTTTTTCCAGGATACCAAAAGAACACTTTTGCATGTGGTTTACTCGTATTTGCCTTAAGAGCAAAAATAATAAATTTCTAGACATTTGGCTGTATCATAAATTTGCACATTTGCATCATAATTATCCATATTTGCAAGGGGAGCAAATATAGTGAGCTGCATAACATTTGCTGACAGTCAAAGATGATGTGCATGTGACATTTCCTATATGTTTGATCCGTTTTGTGACTAAAGTAAATTTCAATCTCAACTGTAACATTACATTGTTACAATAAAATTTTGTACACGCTGTGAGACTCGCCCAGAGATCCAACCCCTTACATGCATCTTTCCTGTTAACTGTTTTATGTGCACTGTCATTTTAATATAAAGGAATCAGAAACCAGTTAAGTTTTTTTGACAATTTTACATTCACAAATTTCTTCTGTTAGTCTTTTACAGAACGAAATGACAGATAGTCTACCCTGTCATATACTTTAACTCAGGAAATCCCTATCCTTTCATACCTGAAGCATGAAAAAGGTGTCCCTTTCTGACAGCGCCCCTGGCATAAACCTTTCCCGGCTACTAATTTAAAGCAAATACACTAATTCAAATCCACTCGTTATTAAGGTCCAGTAGTCAGATCATTGATGCACTGTATTTCCTACAGTCAGGGCCATAGCCAGTATGAGGCAAACCGAGGCACTTGCCTCTGTCATTTAAGGTTTGATCCTGGCAGTGTTTGGTTTCAACGTAGCCATCATAAAGACCCTGAATAGCTAGGCGGGGAATTCAACCATGGATATTGCCTCAGTCCTTATTTTTTTCTGTCTACGGCCCTTGAACTTGGGATACAAGGAGGATCTACAGGAGCTACCGGTCGAATTGTCAAATCCTACCTGACAAAGCCCCACCCCCCCCCATAAACAATGAACAGACCTTTATTGGGTTACAGGGTCACAGGAGCTCTGAGTTAGCCTTAGATCATGAAAAGTCTAGAGCTATAAAGAAAAAACTAAGGTGGTGAAACAAATTAACATGCAGCCTTTAAACTTCTGGACTGGACTGGGTTGGTCAAAGATGGGTTAAGATAACACAAGGTTAGGTCCAGTGGTCAGATCATTTACTGTATTTTTTGTACATCATACTAAAAAATCAAATTTGGTCCGAAATAAAAAGTTTTGTGGATTTCAAACTCAGTGTTGTGATTATTCACTTGTACATAATTTCCTCATGGCCATTTAACCAACAAACTTAATTCAATTTAAAACCAACAATTTTAGTTTAACCAGTATTTGTTGTAGTTTTGACTGCCCACCTAGAGATGACCACATCTCGATGGCCGGCTTCCTAAAAATGACCACATTTTGAAAACCCAACAGCCAATACTACAACAAAATATGGTGAAACTGCTCACAATTTTATTTGAACATTGTCTCAGCTAACAAATTTATGAAAGGCTAATTTTTCTTACTTTGTTGTTTGCAACCCTGAGTTTGAGTTTCATTGATTTTAATGTTGATTTTGAGTTTTACTGTTCATTAAGTACTACCTATTCAATCCAAAAAAGTCATAGCATTTTTGCTGGCTAGAATTCACCTGAAGCCTGGTAATTTGCTTGGGATACAAGGAGGATCTACAGGAGCTACCGGTCGAATGGTCAAATCCTACCTGAAAGGCCCCCCCCACCTTCCCCCCTGCACAATAAACAATGCACAGATCTTTATTGGATTACAGGAGCTCTGATTTGGCATTGGATCATGAAAAGTCTAGAGCTATAAAGAAAAAACTAAGGTAGTGAAACAAATTAACATGCAGCATTTATCCTTCTGGACTGGGTTTGCTCAAAGATGGGTTAAGATAACACAAGGTTAGGTCCAGTAGTCAGATCATTTACTGTATTTTTTGTACATCATACTTGTGGATTTCAAACTCAGTGTTGTGATTATTCACTTGTACATAATTTCCTCATGGCCATTTAACCAACAAACTTAATTCAATTTAAAACCAACAATTTTAGTTTAACCGGTATTTGTTGTAGTTTTGACTGCCCACCTAGAGATGACCACATCTCGATGGCGGCTTCTAAAAATGACCACATTTTGAAAACCCAACAGCCAATACTACAACAAAATATGGTGAAACTGCTCACAATTTTATTTGAACATTAACTCAGCTGACAAATTTATGAAAGGCTAATTTTTCTTACTTTGTTGTTTGCAACCCTGAGTTTGAGTCTCACTGTTCATTAAGTACTACCTATTCAATCCAAAAAAAGGCATAGCATTTTTGCTGGCTAAAATTCACCTGAATCCTGGTTATTTGATCTTAAGATACAAGGAGCGGGGTTGTGGCTTCCCCAAAAAATTCTGATGAAGAGAGGGTCTTCATATACAGGAGCTACCGGTCAAATCCCACCCAACAAAGCCCCCCCCTCCTTAAAAAATGAACATACCCCTACTGGGTTACAGGAGCTCTGAGTTGGCCTTGGATCATGAAAAGTTATAAGCTATAAAGAAAAAACTAAGGTGGTGGAACAAATTAACATGCAGCATTTATCCTTCCAGGCTGGGTTGTTTAAAGCTGGGTTAAGATAACCCAAGGTTAGTACGAAATATGAATTCAGATATGAAAGTTTTAAAAACAAATTCATTTGAATTCCTTTTGTCTACAATTTGGTGATTTGATACTTAAAAAAAAGGGAAAATTATCTGACAAAATGCTTTTGATTAAAAGGAAAAAGAAACGCAGGTTAAAATCTAACACTGGGTTAGTGCTAATCGGTCTTTGGAACAACTGGGCCCCAGTCTTTTTTTGGGTCCAATTCTAAATCACATAACCACTTCGAAGTGAGTCAATGGTACATAACCTGGGCATGTGTTACATTCCCCTTCTGTCATTTGATAATAGTAAAGCCTAGGGTCGCACAATGGGCAGGGATCTCCAATTACTAAAACTAAAAATTCAAAATGACACAGTAACTGTTGTATACAGTTACAGAGGGCCCACACTACCTCCCCTTTACATTAAGTAAATACACTACAACAAATCTACTGGACAAAGGTCCAGTAGTCAGATCATTTACTGTATTTTTTCTACATCATAATATTATTATTAAAAAGCTAACAATAACAAGGCCACCCACAGTACCTTAAATTTGGTAAAAAAAAAAAAAAAAAAAAAAAAAAAGGTTATGTGCATTTCAAAGTCAGGGTTGAGATTATTCACTTGTACACAATTTCCTCATGGCCATTTATTCAAGAAACTTCACATCAAAACTGACAATTTTGTTCTTACCGCTATTTGTTCTAGTTTTCACTGACTATACCTAGAGATGACCACATCTTGATGGTAAGCCTCCTAAAAATGACCACATTTTGAAAGCCCAACAGCCAATACTACAACGAATGGTGAAATTGCTTTGTATTTTATATCATTTGTGAATAGAAACTCAGCACAGACATGAATGAATAATTTCTTTGCTGCTCTTTACAACCCTGATTTTGAGTTCAATATGATTTGTCTTTTTAAACTGCTCAAACAGACTGGCGAGATTTATATCAGCCTTCACTCAACAACAATAACATCAGGTGCATTTCTTCACTTAAACCTAAACTTCTTAGACCAACGGGGTTTACACCATCAATATTATGAGCCAAATTTTAATAGATTTATTTAGAAAAGGAATTCACACAGTAAGATGACTTTTTGATTTTCCTTTTTAAATAGGAATATGATATTTTATAATTGCTGGACAAAAAAAAGGTTCCAGCTAAAAATTTGTTTTGAGCAGTGACAGTAAATCTCAACTTTGGATCTGTCTGAAGGCATTTTCTTTGCCCTTCCACAAAATCACTTTCTACTTTCACTTTGCCAGAAACTTTTGCCATGACTTAGTAACGCCAAGTGAAAACATAATATCTGAGGCATATTTCTTAAGCTATATGTCAGTGCTAGTGAGCAGTCATGGACTGCTGTTTTGAAGGGGCATCCGATAGCAAGATAGCCTTTCCAAAATCAATGAGCATTGGGTGGTACATATTGTTTACCTCTGTAAGAATAATGTTGTCACTCTTTATATCTCTGTGGGGAAACCTGTATGAGTGCAAATGTTCTATAGCTTCACACAATTTCAGTACATTATGTTTCCGCAGAACACTGTGAAAGGGACATGGATTTCCTTAGCAGGGCACCGCACAAAAGAACAAGAAAAATAATATTCTAAAGATGGTAAAAATATAACCCAAGGAAGTACACGTGAGGTTTCTGTTTTTGTGACATTTACCCCAAACAGATGGGGTATTGATGGATGGGAGCATTCAGTATATAAGCTTCAATTCTGTCATCTTGTGAAGAGGAAAAAAATGATTACTGTAAATAAATTGAGACCCACTGGAATACCCCTGTAGCATTTCTTCATGCACAGACCACAAACAGCTTCCCCATGCTGAACCTGTATTTCATTGACCTCTTTATCTTTTGGAGAGTTCAGGTGATGCAACTCAATTTCAAGAACATTGGAAATAACTCCTGTACCACTCAAGGAAGAATCTGAAACAAATACACAAAAAAAGTCACTAAACCCACTAAAAATAACTGTTAACTCTACCTTTATTGATAATATTGTGAAATTAAATGAATTATGTTACTTGTGTTGCCATTATCTTTATGAACATTATAAATACACATGTGGCACATTTTAGCATTTTTGACCTTTTGACTCAGCTTACATGTATCATTATAAACTATTATAAACAAAACAACCTTGTATATGAAAACATGACAAAACAAAACAGAAAAAAAATGACAGTAACGCATATAAAATAAAGGCTCCATCCTACCCTGTCAAAATCAATGGTACATGTACAGGTATTACGCTCAATATGTCAATATAGCGCCAGAGGTAGTATAAATTACTCAAGCAATTAATCTTGAGCTACTTCTGCCAAATACCAATAAATTAGCATTTTAACATTGCATAACTACATATTTTGCTGACTTAACACCACTTAAATTTTTCAACAATGCTTTTTTCAGCTGGATCACTACCATACGCACGCGACACGCGTGCTCATACATGCTACAAATGTAAATATGGATGCAAATGTAGTTTATTCCCGGTTATAACATAGATGTGGCAGTAGAAGCACGATATACAAAGCAAAATACATCGACTTTACCTTTTAAATTTCGAATATCCTTGAGAAGAAATCCAGCAACATAAGCAATCTCTTCTCCCGCCAAATCGCCAAAAGACCGCGCGCCCGATTTCCCAAGCATTTGCGCCTCAGTGGTGCTGGTCAGCGGCAGTCTGCATAACCGTTCGAGAACGAGGGACAACAATTGAAATTCGTCGACCGTTAACACGTTCCACTGCCATCGATTTGCCATCAGCTTTTACTTCGTACGTTTAACGCCATATTTATCAAGAGGTTTCGAATTTTTCTTCTTTGTGGGGTTGACTGTCGAGTATGGAGGAATCGGCCAGTCTTATTTGTTCGAATTTATCGAACGAATGTGTCCTCGAAGAACTTATAAAAATAATCGCTCGAACTCGAGGGAACTGCATACTTATAGATCCTTCGACGAAAATCCACCATGAAAGGCATCTAGATAGCTCCATCGGCGACGATCAAGTAGTAACGAGTGGATCCAAGAAAAGCAGCCGTTAGTACTTAGTAAATAGACTTCGGTGAATCGATGCTGTTTTAATTAGCAGACATTGTAAAACTAAGAGGCAGGAGAAATGTTGAGGACAAACAAATGCTGAGGGAGCAACTAATCGGGAGTAAAAGAAATGCTCAGTAAGTATAAGAAAGTTCGTTGTTACTGTTAAGCCATTAATGATGCTATTTGATAATACCTACATTTGCATTCCAATATTCAGTAATCAACAAGGACCACCCCTACTTCTGAAACTTTATTTGTCCTGTTGTTGTAAAAAATACTGTAATCTTTTGTTTGGTTGTTCTCTTCAGATAAATGGTCTTAGAAAATTTAATAAGAACTGAAGCAAGTGTTAATTCCCCTCTATGAGGCCAAAATTAACCTTATCCTCTAGTGCCTACTTTCTCCAAAGGCTTTTCCAAAATTTAAAAGGGGAGTAAAGGCAGTGACTGCCATGGTGCTGAAAACATAGTGTAGCTAGAATTTAGATCATGGTACCCTGCTTTCACTGATTGTTTTTTATGATCACCCCATGTAAGGGATTCTGGAATCCGGGAAATTTTTGCTTATGGAATCCAGAATTCGGGCAATTTTTGTCGCGGAATCCTAAATTCTGAGCTTTGAAACCTGAAATACAAGTCAAGCGATTGGAATCCAGAAACCAAGTAATCCACTGAAAAAGGTTCGGAATCCGCAGCGTGGAATCCAGAATCTAAAACTGTCTTGGATTCCCTCATATGAGGCAATTATAGTATAATTAAACTTTTGTTCCCAAGATACACTGTAAGTGATGGCAATATTGCAGAAGAAGCAGGTTCATGAAGTTTTAAGTAATATGTCAATAATGTTGTTATGGTAGTGATGTAGTGGGACACTCACTATAAAATTAATACAATGATTTACGTGGAGTCAATTGTCTTGTTACAAAAGGGTTTCTCGCATTCATTTTTTCGTTTTGTTTTTGCTCAAAGAAGGTCTTAGTTTTAACAGGTACAGTGTAATCAGGATTATGATGACCGCTTGGGGTTAGATTTGAGACATGAAAGTTACGAGCCAGCAATTTGTTTAAACTAGTTAATTTTGATATCAGTTAACTCAGGAAATAAGTAAGTTTAGTCACCTAGTGTGACTGCAGTCAGTAATAATACATGTAATATCTAATAGCAACCTTTTTTGCTATAAAAGGCTAGAATATTTAGACAGAAAAGGACAATAGTATTTTTCATGACAGGCATCTACAGCTTTAGTTTCAATATTAATGGTCTCAATTATGTATAATTTCTGTTTGTTGCAGAAAAAGCTGAAGAGACAACCCTTTTCCAGTCAACCTCTATTTCGAAGAAGGATTGTTGTAAGTTCAAAGCTTGTATAATTGTGGAGTACATGTCTTCAGAGCAAGGCAATACAGACCAAGGAGATGACAAATCCGAGAAAAGTGCTTTGCAGGAGGCCTCTAGCATGGAGGAGTCAACAACTTAGCCTGTAAAAACCTCTTTGCCATAGCTGAACAGTAAAGCAAAATTAAAACAGTCACATGTAAGCTTGTCATTACTCAATGACAATAGAAAGGACGAATGGCTTCTCCTCAGAGCAGGAGGCACCAGAGATAATGCTCCTGAATTTGCTTTGTGATAAGGAAATATAAGTTAATCCAAGGCTCTTAAAGAAATTCCAGATTATTTATGACTGGTCATACTTACAGGTACATGTACATGTAGTTCTGCAAATACAGTAATCCTTTAATCACTCTCTGTTTATGACACTGTTGTGTAGAAAAAGATAAATCTGTGTAAACAGTACAAATCCTGATGGTGTTGATTTGTCCTGAGAATTCTGGTGGCAGGTAGATCAAATTGGTTGATGTGATAAATTTTTCATTAGAATCCTTTGGCTATTGTTTGCAAGTAATGTACCAGTCAGCAGGTTAAAAAGGCCAATTAATGTACAAATGTTTCTTTTTAAATCTGTTTGCTTAACTGCAGGCATTTGAGTTCTGCTGGCAACACTTCACAGTACATTTGTACCGATTACAGCAATTACAACTGACCTGCTTGAACAAAAAAAAAACAAAACAAATTTAGGTACACCCTGCTTTTTTGTCATGATTTGTTACGGAATTTTGCAAAGGATTGCAACATGACTCAAGAAAAAGAGTAATGAGAGACAGCAGTGTAGTTATTTTGCAGGCTAGCCAGATCAACCTTTTGTACTACATGTACATGTAT